GGACTGTTAGGTGCAGACTATAGGAATTTAGCCTAAAATCTAGAATTTACTAGTGTGGTTTTATAGTCTCCTTATACCTCTTCAAAAACTCAGAAATGCCACCTTTGGTTAAATTTCCACCAATTTTTCTTCTAACTTCTTTATAACTGTAGCCTTGTTCACTTAGTAATACTATTTTACATCACTTTCTGGGCGACCAGTCAATTCTTTGCACCATTTCTTTAATTTTATTACATTTTACAAGCTCACTAAAAGAATACAAAAAGCCCAACCAACTTGATAGCGATCACATGACACACTGACAAATGTCCTCATCTCAGGTTCAATACATGACATCAGTAATTGAATCCTACTGTGTTCTGATTGGCTCATTGCCAAAACAAGATGATACCTGATTGGCTCTCTAAACACTCATGCTCATTGGCTACAATCAGATGAAGGAAAGCTACCTGATATCAACCTAAGCAAGTTCTGCTTCCTTTTTCTGGTTATTTGGCTAGAACTTTTCATAGAATACAGATAACTGGATAAACTTTGTTGCATTACATTCTTGATTAAATTATCTTTCCATTGGTATATAATTTTATGGTACTACTCCAAAAAAAGTGGTGTTATTAGCCATGAAACCTCAAAAATACTTTCCCCAAAGGTTTCCACAATTTTGGCCACTACTGTAAATCTAGCATTATAAACCTAGTAGAATTATAAAAAGATAAAAATATACAACCACTTGTTTAAGTTTCACAGATACTATTGTTGTGCTGCTGTTTAAATTTCACTGGGTAAGAATTTGAAGAATTTGCAGCAGGCACTGTAACACTAATTTTAGAATGAACAAATATAAATAGTGCAACTCTATTCAAAATATCTTAAGAAGATGAATAATCTCCATAAAAAGAAGTGGAGACAATGTAATGTCAGTGCTTGATCTTGCATTATTTGTGATGCATCATTATTCATATTTGCTGAAGGCCTCAACAGAAACAGCAAAACCTAGTCAACCCTGGCTGATCTCAGAAAATTAAATAGGACTGGCCTGGTAATGCTTGAACAAGAAAATCTTACTAGAATGTTGAAGAAGAAAATAAAGCTAAGCTTGTACTGTTGCCAAGAAAACTACATGGATGTGACCATGCTTAAGGTTGGACTATAAGGCCTTTAATAGCCCTTCACATCCAATGATTCTGTGTAATTTTATTCAATATGCAAGCAGATACTTTCTTGGAAGCAAATATTTTTAAACAAATATCACAATAATTACAATTAACAATTTTCAGGCTTAGCATATTTATAATTCTGATAGTTGAAGACATCAGAAATATTTTAAATTAATAACTTGGGTTTTTAAAAGCATTGGTTATATTCAGCAATATTTCAAAGAAAACCAGATCCATTAAACTGCTAAACTAGTTCAGATGGATTAGAACTAGATAGACAGACCTTTTAAAATTAATAGGGAATGAGTGTTCAGATATTATGGGGTATGGAAATATAGTATATCAAAGGTCCTTGGTGTTCTATGAGTTTGCAGGTAACACCATCAGTGCTAGCAAGGAGTGCTGTTTGCTGTTAGTTTATATTCTGGTGACTTGCTTGTCTGTGTGGATGGGGGCGGTCTTAAGATATGTTTTGGTTGGGCTGTTTACTGATGGCTCTTTGGCAGTTTCTTGATTGGGGTTTTGTTTACCTGATTGTTGGTCTGAAGTTAACCTTGGTTATTATAGTATATTTGTATATATTTTGAGTTTTCGTCTGGAAGCACATGATTACCCAAGACCCTTTGAGATCATATAGATACTTATTGAAGTTATTTAGAAAGGAAATATAAGAAAGGAAATCTCTGCAGTAGCCTACTTAAAAATCCTTCATGGGTCTGGTCATAGGTAGCTATTTTTACCTGTTGAGAAACATGAGGAAGTTGAGCTTCCTGTAGAGCGGTACCTTGTAAAGATGCTACTTGTGGAGATGTTGATGAATTATTACTGCTTTTGGGCACCTCGTCCATAATCAATCTATAATATACCAAAGATACACAATATGCATAACTAGTTAAAAGAAACTGATACTTTTTCAAAGTATATTTAACATATTCAGCTTTGTTTACCTGTGAAATATAAATAGGATATGGTGTCAAGAGTATTAATATAGATAATTCAGGAATATAAACCTGGCTAAACTGCACATACTGGAACCAATGGAACTCATAGAAAAGCAAGTACTTTAAAGATAGAAACTTATTAAATGGGAATAAAATCCATGACACTCAGTAAGTCTGACTAAAAAGTATAGATTTAGGTACTTTCAACTTTCACTTCCATTGTTGCTCTAACTTTCTAGACTTTCAAAATATGTAATGCATTTCCACTGAACCAGATGGACCAGTTTCCAGAAAATGAGGCAATATTTCTTTTAAAAAAATTTATAAGTTGTTTAGATTATAAAGTGATCAGCAGCTCTTTACTACGTGTTACAATTATATATTCCTAATTATTCACATGTTCAGGACTGACCTTGTCATATATGTTCTAATTTACACTGGATGCATAAAAACTATTAATATTGTAAAAAATATCAAAGTATGTACCAAAATATATTTGGTATCCCCATCACTTGATATTACAGGTACTCCTAGTTTAATGGCACTAAATTGGGATGGGAAACTCAGGAGACCTGTAGTGGCAGTGGTTAGAATGCAGTACTGCAGGCTAACTCATTCCTCACTCCAGGAGTTCAGTCTTGATCGGCTTAGGGTTGACTTAACCTTCCACCCTTCCGAGGTCAATTAAATGAGGACCTGGGTTGTTGAGGTCAATATGTTAACTCTGTAAACCACTTAGAGAGGGCTATAAAGCACTGTCAAGGGGTATATAAGTCTAAGTGCTATCGCTATTTTGTCATTTGCTCCAGGGAAAAGGAGTAAGATAAAGAAGTTAACTCCTATCTTTGTATGCTTTAGGACTTTCTGCATCTGTATTGTTGTTGTTGTTTTTAAGTTTTTATTGGTTTTTAAAAACAAACATAAACAAACAGAACATAAAAACATCAAGCCATCTTCCATATGTATACATACAGTGTGCTGGTTGGTTTACAAATTGTTTTATGCTTCCATTTCGTAGACTTCAATTACAATTACATTGCATTAATCTCATATTTTCAATCAAAAATTAAATACCTTAGTATCATTATTAATCAATAATTTGACTATACTTTTATTCATTCATGTTTTACAAGATAATCATAATTTACTTAGTTTGTTTTATAACAGTTCATATTATCATCCCAAATCTACCCTAAAATCATTTTGTAGATATAATAAGAAAGAAGTACATCTTTATATATTTATTATTTTCTAAAAGTCTACGTATTTCATTACTGTATTTTATTGTCTAACCATTGATAGAATAGACCCCAAATTTTATAAAATTGTTTATCATCTTGTTCTCTAATTTCAAATGTCAATCTACTCATTTTGGCACATTCCAAGATTTTCTTAATGATTTCCTCCTGTGATGGTGTTTTCTCATTTTTCCAATTTTTGGCAAATACAATCCTAGCCACTGTTAATATATTTACAATCAGATATTTCAAATCTTTACTATATATTTCAGGTAAAATTCCCAATAAAAATATCTCTGGTTTCAAGTCTATGTTTTTTTGTCATTTTTTCCAACCATATATGGATTTTAGTCCAATATTTTTTAGCATCCGCACAAGTCCACCACATATGGTAATATGAGCCAGGTGTCTGATGACATTTCCAACATTTTTCGGATTTATTCTTGAACATTCTTGCTATTCTTGTCGGGGGAAAATGCCACCTGTTAAACATGTTATACAAATTTTCTTTATATGCTGCTGACATTGTCATTTTATAATTTTGAGACCACAATTTTTGCCATTTCTCTAGATCAATCCCATATCCAAAACTCTTCCCCCAAGCAATCATAGTTTCTTTAACTTGTTCTTCTTCTGATTTAATTTCTAATAAATATCCATACAATTTTTTAATCACCTTTAATCACCTTTTTCATCAGTATTTGTCAAAATCTTATCTAAATCAGTCAATTTATCATAGAAACCTTCCATTTTAGAATCTTTATCATACCTTGAATGTATTTACGCATATGAAAACCAATTCATCTTTATACCTTGTTCCTCTAGTTTTTGTATAGATTTGAGTTCACTCTTTTCATTCAATATTTCACCATATCTAACTGTTTGTTCCTTTCTGTATATTATAGGATAAGAAAATGCTTCAATAGTCGATAGCCAGACTGGAATTTTCAAATAACATTGTCTTTTAATCTTCTCCCAGTTTAACCACAGAGACTCCCGTATATAATGTCTTCTAAAATACCCCTGTGTTTTAGTTCCTTTATACCATAAGAAAGCATGCCATCCCAACAACAAATCATGTCCTTCTAATGTCAACAATCTAGTATTTCTTAGTGTTATCCATTCCTTAACCCACATCAGATTTGTAGCTTTATAGTACAACTCCCAATTAGGCAAACCAAATCCTCCTCTAATTCTAGCATCTTGCAAAAGTTTTAACTTTATTCTTGCTTTCTTCCCTTGCCATATATATTTCAACACAATTTTATTTAAATCTTCAAAGTAATCTTTTCCAAGCCTAATTGGAATTGTTTGAAACAAATATAAAATTCTGGGTAATATATTCATCTTGATTGTTGAATTTCTCCCTATTAGTGACAGTTGTAAATTTTCCTATTTCGCCAGATCTAGCGGTATCTGCTGTTTAAGTTTGATATAATTATTCTCTTTTAATGTACTACATCTTGCTGTCAAATATATCCCCAAGTACTTGATCTTATTCGTGACCCAAATTTTCAATAGGTCTGCCAGTTCTTCCTTTTGTCTTAATAGCATATTTTTTGTCAAGATCTTTGTCTTATCTTTATTTATTTTCAAACCAGCCACCTTTCCATATGTCTCTATCTTTTCTATCAATTTCGATGCTGTTTCTAAAGGGTCTTCTAAAATGAAAACCAGATCATCTGCAAATGCTTGCAGCATAAATTCTTCCTTTTTGATTTTCATTCCTTTTATATTCTTTTCATCTCTAATATTTCTGTTTAGCACTTCCAAAGTTAACACAAACAACAAAGGTGATAGTGGGCACCCTTGTCTTGTTCCTTTTCTTATATCGATAGTCTGTCAGTTCTCCCTCTATCATTACCTTTGCCGTTTGCTTATAGTATATAGCTTCTATTGCTTGAATAAATTTTCTAGCAAAGCCCATCTGTTCCAACAGTAATAACATGAATTGCCAATTCACATTATCAAATGCCTTCTGTGCATCTAGAAATATCAGAGCCATTTGTTTTTCAGGATGTGCCTCATAGTATTCCATGGTGTCCAAGATTACTCTCATATTATCTTTAATTTGTCTCTTTGGCAGAAATCCATTTTGATCAGGATGAATAAAATTATTTAGATTTTTTAAAGTCTTTCTGCCAATATTGAAGCAAAGATTTTATAATCTGCATTTAGTAGAGAAATAGGTCTATAGTTCTTAATTTGTAATGGATCGGCCTCCTCTTTTGGAATAAATGTAACATAGGCTTCTCACCATTATTAGGTATCTTCTTCTTTAACATAACTTCATTCATAACTTCTAGCAATGGAAGATTCAACGATTCTTGTAATGTTTTATAAAATTCTGCCAGAAGTCCATCTGGGCCTGGTGCCTTTCCATTATTTTTCTTCTTGAGTGCTTCAGTTAACTCCATCATCGTTATATTGCTTTCTAACATTGTTTCAATCTCTAGGTAACTGAGGTAAATTAGCATTCTGTAAGTACTGTTTAACTTTTTCCTGATCAATGTTCTCTTGCATATATAGTTTCCCATAGAAGTCTCGAATTATTTCCTTCTTCTCTTTACTACCATAGCAAACTTGACCTTGGTCATCTGTTAATTGCAATATTTTCCTTGATTCTTTCTCCTTTCTCAATTTGTATGCTAGCCATCTACCTGGTTTGTTTGCGTCTTCAAAGTAGTTCTGTTTAGCACCTCTAATTTTCTGTGCTAATTCTTCTTTTTCTATTTGACCCATTTTATGTTTAACTATATCCATTTTTAGCTTGATGTCCTTTTTCTGTGGCATTTTCTGTAGCTCTTTTTCAAGTCTTTTATACTCATCCTCTAAGGCCTTAGAGGCTAATCTTTTCATAGTATTTCTTTTCCTTGCATAGTCTATTATTAAGCCTCTAACATATGCCTTCATTGTATCCCATACATTCTGAATTGATGTATCTTCTTTTTTCTTTTCTCTAAAACAAAAAGCCAATTCTTTCTCCATCCACTTTTAAAGGGAAGTCTTTTTCCTTTAAAATAGTATTATTTAACGTCCATCTAGATCTTTTTTGTCCTTTCCATTTAATTCTCATTGGATTGTGATCTGCCCAAGTACTTGTTTCAATATTTATTTCTTGAATATTAGTTATTAATTCTGTTGACAGCCATATCATATCTATTCTGGACCATGATAAGTGTCTATTTGAATAGAAGGTATATTGTTTAGTTTTAGCATTTCTTTCTCTCCATGTATCTTTTAAGTTTATTTCATCTACCATTTTAAAAAAAGATTTAGGGAGAGTCTTTCTGTTTTGCTTTATTGTTTTCTGTGCTGTAAATCTAATTTATTGTCTACAATTCCATTAAAATCTCCCATCATAACTATATTAGCATAGTCCAGTTCAATTATTTTCATATGTAATTTTCTGTAGAATTCTTCTTGTTTGTCATTCGGAGCATAGATTGCAATCAGGAGTGTTTTCGTATTATTGTCCATTATTTTCACTATTAGTATTCTTGTGTCATCATCGGTATAAATCAATTTTGCTGGGATGGTCTCTTTAATATATAAAACCACTCCTCTTTTCTTATATTGTGTCAAGGAAGTAAACATTTTCCCTAGTTTTGGCTGTATCAACAATTGTTCATATTGTTTTTTAATATGTACTTCTTGTAGACAAATTATATCAAAT